TGTTTACATGTTGGATGCTAACTTACTATCTTGTCTTCTATGAAAACTCACAAGCTCTTAAAACAAGTAAGATGCTATGTGATGGTAGTGTGATGTGATATGTGTAACCCTACAGCAATGAACATAATCTAGTAATGCATATTCCTGGATCCAGTCGGATCAGAAATACCAACAGTATGAGCAAAGTTTAAGTACAAAAAAAAATGAAATGAAAAGTGTTGAGGTCCATTTTCTTCATGAAACCTGCACATATGTAGGTTAGCAACCTAACCTACATACATATGTACATATGTATGTAGGTTAGGTTGCCCTGGATGTTGATGCCTCAGTTATCTCCGATCAACCTATCATACAGTATCCCTTTCCCCTTGCTACATACTAATATAAACTCATTTGTATTCATATACACTACCAGTCAAAAGTTTGGACACACCTTCTCATTCAAAGTTTTTTATTTATTTAATTTGTTTCTACATTGTAGATTTTTACTGAAGACATCAGAACTATAAAAATACACTAGAAAGTGTTAACAAATCCAGAATATGATCTATATTTTGCTGGCTACTGCAGAATGCTGTGGTAGCCATGCCGGTTAAGTGTGCCTTGAATTCTGAATAAATCACCAACAGTGACACCAGCAAAGATATCTTTGAATGTATCCTCAAGTCGATGGCTATTACTTTTCTTATTCATAACTTTCATAATTCCAGAGATACATCCCATAATTCATCACATTTTTAACATGGAAGTCAATGGAGACACTCTTCAGACTTGAACAATCTTCATGCAACTTCAACTGCTAACTGTTCATTCATACTTTCACTCAGAAACCTCATTCCAACTTTAAAATGTTACACATCTTTCTGACATTATTCGTGTAACACAACTTTTAAATCTGATTCATTTTTAGAGATATTAAACATTGTTCAGACTTTGGTAAAGAGGCCTTCTTCAGATTTAGAGTGCGTGATGTCACAGCTAGAGTGGAGGACAGATTTAATTTTGCCTTCATATTTTCTTTTAAACCTGCCATCATTCCCAAACCCTACATTCCTGAGACATAATTTTTCATGACAAACGTAGGAAAACATCTCGTAGATTGAAAAATAAAAAATAATTAAGCAAAATAATTAAACAAAATGCCTCTTGATGGCATGAAGTGACAAAAACGTTCAACATGTCCAAACCCCTTTGTAAGTTCAGCCTCATCTTTCCCCGCCACAGCAGCCGCACACCTTTAGTTAATCTGCCAAAAAGGCCACATTATTAACCCAAAAGTACACAAAAAGTACACTTCAGATGCTCAAGTTCCTTGACATGCTTCACGCTTTGAAATGTCACTGATATCTGTTACAGTTCTTCAACAAAACGTTCACATGTAAGAGGTTTATCTCTCATTCAGAACAATGAAAATGCTCTCCTCTCACTGCACATCACCATGGAAACCTCTGATCTCTGGACATGTTGTTAGCTCAAATATAAACACCTGTGTCATGGAACACGATGATGTCATAACTCCAACTGACATGCTCAGAGCAGCAGACTTCAGATAATGGTTAATGGTCCTGCCCTCAACAGCTCTACGTCAATTATGGGGTGTCATCATATGCCGTTTCCATGGAAATGCATCCCTCGCCATAAAACATGATGTCGCTGTAACTCCAATGGACACGGTCTGATCGTCCCCCACACTTCACTTGTATATCACCTGTCCATGCCTCAACAGCTTTATGCCAAATCTGAGATCTCACCATAGGCTGTTGCCATGGAAACACATCCCTCGCCAAAAAACACGATGTCGCTGTAGCTCCAATGGACACGGTCCGGTCGTCCCACAATCTTCACCTGTATATCACCTCTCCATGCCTCAACAGCTCTACGTCAAATCTAGGGATGGGTACCGAGCCCCGGTAGTAAACGGGCCCCGGGGCTGAATTATTAAAGACCGTGGTACCGTTAAGCTCCGACGTTATCGGTCTTTTTATCGGTACTGCAGACATGTAAAAAATATGTCATATGTATTATTGCTACACAAACATTATATTGCAGTTTTAGTGTCGCCAACTCCGTTTCTAATACGCAAAAAGACTGCAAAATGCGTCCATGATTTAGTATTTTCGATCTCTCTCCCCCGCCTGCTTGCGAGGGGGCGGGGCAGTTTACACACACCCAGCTACTACATGCAGCAACACACACATGGAGGAGATGGCGGAGAGAACACGCTCCGAGTTGGTTAAACTTTACCCGTCTCGATGCTCGTTGCCTAAAGTGCAATAAGAGTTTAGCGTGTCAGGGCGGTAACACGAGCAATTTGTTTAAACATTTAGCAAAAGTGCACCACATTCAGACGGAGGAATGCACCGGGTTCGACTGTCTTTCTAGCAGCTCTGTAGCCCCATCCACGAGTAACGTTTCCACGTCAGGTATGTTATGTATGCTAGTAGCAACACACAGAGTTAACTCAATGATACAAACATGGGTTAATGATTAGAGGTAACTGTGTTATTTATTTTGATAAAGTTTCAGCTATTCTGTTTACAGTTCTGTCATCACATTATTTAATATGATTTGTTAAAACACTGTTGTGTCTTTTGATGTGAAATATTATGTATAATAATAATAATAATAATGGGTTCCATTTATAAAGCACTTCATATTTGATTTCAAATCCCGAAGTGCTACAAGTAGTGAGCATGAACAGTATAAATAAACATTACACAACACGGTAGAATTAATAATTAATAATTGTATTTAATTAAAAAAAAAAAAGCAATGTTAGTTTTGTTCACAATTTGTTTAGTTAGTTTACCTTTATTTTTTCTCCAAAAGAACCGATAAGAGTACCGTTTAAAGACCGGACCGATAAGCGGTATCAATAAAAGTAGTAGTACCGTTAAAACCTTAACGATACCCATCCCTAGTCAAATCTGACATCTCACCATATGCCGTTTCCATGGAAACGCATCCCTCGCCATAAAAGACGATGTCGCTATAACTCCTATGAACATTTTCAAAAAGTACTCAAACTTCATATGTGTGCTAACAGTCCAGCCGTGAAGACATTTACGGGACAGTATTGAGATTTCTTCAAATGCCGTTGCCATGGCAACACAATGCTCGCCATGAAACACGGGACTCGTGACTCGACTCGGACTCGCACACTGATTGACACGACTCGGACTTGGACTCGTGAATTCTCGCGCACGATGACTTGGACTCGGACTCGTGAATTATCGCGTACGCTGACTTGGACTCGTAAATTCCCCCCCCCACGATGACTCGGACTCGACTTGTACATTGACGCTCCGACTTGGACTCGGACTTGAGCAAATTTTCTCTGGAGTCTGATGTCCTCTATCCTGGCGTGTGCACCTGCGAGGCGAGTTCACGTACTGGGCCCCGCTATTCCAGTCTAAAGATGTCTAGAGACACACCCCGCATCGTGCTGTATGCTTTCACACATTCTGCTTCCACATCTATTCCACACAATGCTCGTTATGTGGAAAAAATATTGAAGAGAAGGCTCCGTAACACATTACTCTAAGGATCGAGTTCAGACATATAGGCTGTCTTGAACTCTATCATAACGTGAGTAACGTGATCTAATCAATAAAAAAAGATTCAGCCGATAACACGAAAGCACATGGCTACTTAACATGCACAATGATGTCATGTGCTTTCTGGGGCTAAATCTTTATCAGTAAACCGATTTAACTAGTAAAAGTTCCTTCACACAGTCCTGATCTTATTACTATCAAAATAAAAGTGCAAAACGAAAACTTTACCATAGGAAAATATTGGCATACAAATATAATCACTTCTCTAAAAGGTAACTCATTTTAAATATAGTTTATTTATATGTAATAATAATAATATTAGTAATAAGCTTTATATTTGTATAGCACCTATTACAAGAATTGTAGCCAAACTCGCTTCACAGCAGTTCAATACACAGATTAGTATAACATGACAGGATAAAAGCAATATAGAGGAGCAGCTACATTTCAACACATATATCCACGAAGATTAATACATACTTAGGTGACTCGGACTTGGACTCTGACTTGAACACAGGTAATGATGACTCGGACTCGACTCGGACACTCCTTGGGTGACTCGGACTTGGACTCGGACTCGAACACAGGTAATGATGACTCGGACTCGACTCGTACACTCCTTGGGTGACTCGGACTTGGACTCGGACTCGACTACGACTCTCCCTTGGTGACTTGGACTTGGACTCGGACTCGAAGAGTGGTGACTCGAGAGTGACTTGGACTCGTGAATTGGTGACTTGACTATAACACTGCTAAGTAGCCATGTGCTGTCTGTGGCTAAATATTTATCGGTAAACCGATTTAGCCGGTAAAAGTTCCTTCAAAATAAGAGTTCCGATCTTATTACTATCAAAATAAAAGTGCAAAACGAAAACTTTACCATAGGAAAATATTGGCATACAAATATAATCACTTCTCTAAAAGCTAACTCATTTTAAATATAGTTTATTTATATATAATAATAATAATAATAATAATAATAATAATATTAATATTAGTAATAAGCTTAATATTTGTATAGCACCTATTACAAGAATTGTAGCCAAACTCGCTTCACAGCAGTTCAATAGACAGATTAGTATAACATGACAGGATAAAAGCAATGTAGAGGAGCAGCTACATATCCAAGAAGATTAATACATGAAGACTTGTGACTCGGACTTGACTTGGACTCTTCTTAGGTGACTCGGACTTGGACTCGGACTCGAACACAGGTAATGATGACTCGGACTCGACTCGGACACTCCTTGGGTGACTCGGACTTGGACTCGGACTCGAACACAGGTAATGTCGACTATGACTCTCCATTGGTGACTCGGACTTGGACTTGGACTCGGACAGTGGTGACTCGAGAGTGACTTGGACTCATGAATTGGTGACTTGACTACAACACTGCTGGTTGGTAATTCAGATTTTCACTTTATGTTTTTTTAACAATCTTACCTAGCAACTGCACTCCGCGGGTCAGGCCGTAAACATCAATGAGGGCCCAGAGAGGCTCAGCTGTGCGGACTCCACTGAAGAACAGCATGGGACTGGACTCATTAATGCGGTAGAAAACTCGGCCCTTCTTGTCAACCCAGAAGGCGATAACGCTGCCCTCATTGGCAAACTCTTCAGGCAGGGCCTTGGCCCAGAAGCCACTCTGGGCCACCAGATCAGGGCAGGCGTATTTGGGCAGGTTGTCTGGGTTTATCCTTGAGGGGTCTTTGGCGCAGAAGCCAAGACGTAGAGCCCCGCTCCAGCAACACTGCTTTTTAGTAATCTAGGAAGAAGAGAACCACATGTGGCTTTATTGGTATTATTTGGTTATTTCCTAGAAATATGATACAAATAGTAAGGCCCTTTGACAGTTTCACAGGAAGAAGAGCTGGGAAGGACCCATATGCAGGAGAGTACTAGCAACAGGAACATTTGACATAAAAGACTTGGGCGTATATCCAGGCAAGGCGGCAAGAATACCAGAAATGCATGCAGAACTAATGGGGGGATAAAGTACAGGTGTACAGGAAGGGATTGAAGGTCTAATGGGGAACCGTCTGAACTAATAAGGCCAGGAGAGACAAAATAAAACTGGCAAGAAAACAAGAAAAGGATGTAAAACAGACATATCATAGGGGAACTTTTTAAAATAAAAAAGGAAACTGATAAACTAAAAACTAGGATGATGACAGACATGGGGCTGTATATCAACCACAACATTCAACGACTACATCATATTTGACTTAAAGTAAAATAATAAGCAGTCCAATAGTTTGATGCTCCCAGACACTAAGGAGCTTAAGTTCTCCATTTGGACATTAAGTACCTTGAGGCGGACTTGCTCATACAGCACTATGGGCCTGTTGCTGAAGGTGATGGCGTTGCAGAAACTGGCCTGCCTCTTAACCGTCTTCTGGGTGAGGTCCATGACGATTTGGGATCCCTTGGCATTAGGATGAAAGAGAAGTGGGCTGAGGGGAAGGGGTCCACCAGCGCTGCCATACTGTATAGGCAGGCACCTCTTGGGTTTGTGGTGGCATCGGTGTGACGTGGACGGGAATGGGCCACCGAGGGAGTCTGAGGAGGAGAAAAAAAGAGGGAGTTGAGCTCTACTGTGAAACAAAAATGTCCTAATTAGGAGCAGGAGGTTCAGTTAAGTAACTATAATTAGTGTTTGAAGTTTTTATAAAAACCTAGCATCACAGAAAATAGCATATCACATAATCTGAGTTCTTGCATTTGGCTTCTTTGCTGATTATTTGTGAGCAATGGGGTAATTAACTAATCAGCCATAATCAAATTTGGCCCTGCAGGGTGAAATTCAAAGCTCGATGCAGATTGCAACACTAATCGAAAAAAACTGAAATTATCCTCTTCAGTTCATCACAAAATGAACTGTTCTCAGACCAAGGGACCAACGTTGTGACATTATGATGTTTCATGTGGACTGGAAGCAGTTTTGGTTCGGCACCAGTAAACTCAAGTCTTAGTCGAAGCCATGCTGGTAAATATAGTGACATTTCAACATATTAACACACTAACCCTAAACCTTTCATACATATTAACAAAATCATCCATTCAGCTACATTCAAACTTTGTTAAAGATTCCAATACTAAACAGCCAAATAATTGTATCTTGCTTGGTACAACTCGACTGACTTTATAATTAGACACATTCAGATCCAGTAAAAGTGTCAGATTGGCTGATGAGTTTGACCACAGCACTTGAGGGGCTACTGGAATTAACATCCATTGGAGCAATTTCACAGATTTTCCCGAAAGCTAGTTCTGCCAGTTTAAAATAGCTAAATTAGTATTCTATAAGTGAGCTGGAGACTGTGACAGAGAATTCTACTCCTTTGATTTGTTATACAATACATCATCATTCTGGGATGTTAAATGATTTCCAGAAGTTTTAGTATTTGTGTTAGAACATTCCAGTATTTTGTGGTGAGGCCAGTTTAATTTATGTTTTTGCTGTGCCCCCTTTCTCTCAACTTTCATGGTCTAATCTGGCTCTACATGATCCACATTTTTTTACCTGGATATTTCATCTGGCAGAGTGTTTGACCAAGTGATAGCAACTGTGATTACAGGTTGAGAAACAGAATGCCATTCCGAACTCAAATCATTACTTTTCTCTCAGCTGTGTTGCATTATGGACTAGTCAAGCTGCTGTCAGTGGACTGGGATGTCCGTCTCTTCCTCGATTGATTCCTCCCTGCGATTTACTGTCTAGAAATAAACCCTGGCACTTAAAATCAGAGGAACTGTTACATCAGCATAAACATCAGGAAAACCCAATGTTTATTCTGATGTATCAGTTACTTTATGGGTTTTTTTTTCAATCAAGCTCCAGCCAGCTATGTTGGAGACATTTCAACACCAAATGTTAGGCCACGAACTGTCCATCAATATGTGAGATGCATTTCTGCTTCTAACATATCCTTTCTAGTACCAGATCACTATCCGTACTTGGTCCCATCTGGGATTAGAACTGGCAACCATCCGCTTCCCAAACTGACTGGGCTGCTTGGTCAGTTTTGAGAGTTGAACCAGCGACCCTCCATTTCCCACACAGACTGGGCTACCTGTTCCGTTCTCGGACTTCAACCAGCTACCCTCCAGTTCCAACACTGACTGAGCTACTGCCGCACTTTAAAAAAAACACACACGTTGTTTTAGAGAGTACGATGTTAAGCTGCATTACGGCTAATATCAGGTCCTCACTTCAAAAATAAATATCAATGGCTATAATTGAAAATGTTATTATTCAGTTTATTGCGCTTTGGATTGCCAGAGGACTGTTTGACAAACAAACTGATGAAAGCCAACAGCAGCAGATGTCCTGTGGAGTCCTGATAAGACCAAGCAGCCTTTTTCTAAAAATCTGCACGCTTTGTGTTCGCTTTCTTTCTTTGTCTCTGTCCTCTCCCTCTCATCTGTGTTTATCTAGTAATGACCCTGGCAGTGTTTCACCCTGCTGTACGTGTGTGTGCCATTCATTATGGCCCCGATCTAAGAGTACCGTTGAGGCCCTTTTGTCTTAGGCAGAGCCACAGGAGAGCGGTTGTTGAGTGTGTTCGCACATGGTCCTGGGCAGATTGAGCTGAATGCATTACTGGGCTCTAAAGAGGCGCAGCTGCTGTAGAGGAAAACAGGCTATGTGTGAATTCATGTTCCTTAGCAACCCCTCGTATCTAAAGGTCCTGATCAGCGCACTCTTTCACTCTGCGGCTATCAGCTAGAAAACGACAGATGCCTTTTGTTTACTCAGACACAACAAGATATTTATAGTCTTAGATGTTGGCTTTTTTGCTACTAAGCTTGTTTGGGAGTCAATTCAAACAAAAGATAATAGCCGTCTACAGAGCAGAGATAACGCCTTTCTATATTTGTATCATTTTGATAGATCTCTTTTTTTCTTCCACCCTTTTGCAAAATATTTTCACCAACAACATCTTAAAGACTCCTGTGAGGTCGTTTAAGACACATTACACTTGCAGTAAAAATAACTGGAACTCTTAGCACTTTCAACCTCATGTGTTGCAGCAGAGATGTTTCGCCTTTTTTTTATTTGTATAGTTGTATTTTTACTGAGTGAGTAAAATCAATCTGTTACAAAGTTGAATTACTTCCAAAAACATTATAAAAAATACTTTGAAAAAAATAAATCAAAGAAAAATAGAAAGTGAGATGCAGTAATGTGTTTTCAGCAAACAAAACATCTGAAAAAAACGATTGTACTATGCTATGGAGCAGCAACACTAATCTCTTACCATTTCATTTGGCTGACGGCTCAGAGGTGACGTGTGTGTGTGTGTGTGTGTGTGTGTGTGTGTGTGTGTGTGTGTGTGTGTGTGTGTGTATGAGAGGGGGAGAGAGTGTTCCTGTATGTGTAATCTTTATCTAGAGCTGTGTAGCCACTGACTAACCTTAGTGGTTTACCATGCAAATAGGATTTTATTGGTGGGAAAAAAACGGTTGAAATATTTGCTCAGTATTTGCTTGCGAAATGACTTCCTGGTTCTGGGGAACAAGTGTAAACTCCAAATGAAACGGTTACATGAGTTAATCTGTATTATATGAAATTAGGTTGAATATTATTTGCAAATATTACATTCTTGGCATTTTTTAAATGTGTGCCAAGAGGTCTGGGATTGGAGGCAGTCTAACATTTGTGAGTTTTGTGAATTTTACAAGGATACTAAAGATCATATGAAGGCATTTTCAAACAGATAACATACAGTGAATTAACTCTGTATAAATAATCATTTTCTTCACTCTAAACTCTATTGACTTGCATTCGTACATACCATTAAAGAGGCCCTATTCTGCGTTTGGAGTTTTCCCCGTCCTGTTGTGTGTTTTATAAGTTTCTGTGCATGTAAATGGTCTGCAAAGACTACAATCCCTGTGTACCCTCCAGAGCAGTGACGTGCGGTGAGGTTCATGGCTGGTGAGGCACTGAGTCAGATTTACAAATATTATATTTTGACCTTAATCGAAATGTTCGGTTATTTTCAAAAGCTTTTTTAGTCTGATGCTTCGATTCATTTTAAACAGACTGTTCAACAAAAGGATTCCCAAAATCTAAATATTGGATTGTTCTTTCTTAGTAAGATCCCATTTTCATTTTACAATTGTGGTCTTACCTTGACTTGAAGATGAAGTCCATGCTATCCTTCTGGACAACAATCTCTATTACTTTTTTGTAAAAGTCCTCCTTATCTCCCTCTAGTTTCAAAACAAAAGTCTAGTTTGCGTCTACCGTCTCTGCGTAGAATAACAGTAGCAACAAGAACATGTGGGCTCACGTGCGCCCCCTTCAGTGCGGCAGAGGTTATGGCTGCCTCTCCTGGTGCTTTTTTCAGCGGGCCTAAATATCATATACGTGAAATAAGTTATTTAGAGACTATGGATGGCGAGGATAAATGTAATAAAGGGATCTACAAACATTACATTGGTGACATACAGTGAGATGGTGCAGGCATGCGCTTAGGGCCCGCTTTCCAGACAGTTTCTGTGGGGTGACGCATTCTGAGGTGAGGCAGATCTCATCTGTGCCTCACCTTACCACACAGTAACTGGCTTGAGCGCGCTCACAAAATAAATGCCCGCGCTACATTAGTGCCCGCGCTCCAGCCAGTTACTGTGGGCTTACGTGAGGCAGAGCTCGTCCCTGCCTCACTCCTCATCGTTACCCGTAGTTGTAGCGGAGCTCGGCAAATTTGCTGATTTTGACTATAAAAAGCGATTGGAATCATACATAAATCACATTTACAACACAGATCAGTGGAGACATTTTATTATTATTACTATTTAGTTTTTCTTTAGTTGTTTTTCCGTTACATTGGAGTATGACAGGTGAGGCTCTGCCTCCCCTGCCTCCCCTGACTGCACGTCACTGCTCCAGAGTGAGTTTCTCTCCCACACACTGCCCCCCCTGCCTGAAACGTCTCTATTGGACTCTTTTGTTTACTTCTGTAACATAGTGACATCACTACGTACTGCTTGCGCTTCTATTGATTAGCGCTCCAACACATTGTATGTGATAGACTACGGAACGAGACATCTCTAAGTCGTTGACCAATCACAACAGAGCCGGCCAGCTAATCAGAGCAGACTGGGCTCTGGTTTCAGACAGAAAAGAGTTTTTTTTTTTTTTTTTTTAACATTAAAGCATGGAGACGTGACAGTAGAGACACAAAATATAAATATAAACCTGAAAATTACCATAATATGGACCCTTTAACCCAGATTGCAACCATGTATAATCATTCATTGTAATTTAGGAACTATTCACAACAGCAGCATTGCTACTGTCACTCCCTAGGTAAAACCCTGCCTAAAACTCACACAAACACGCACACACACGCACACACACACACACACACACACACACACACACACACACACACACACACACACACACACACACACACACACACACACACACACACACACACACACACACACACACACACATTGCTGTCACTGTGTAACCATTAGTTATTATTTAGAATGTACTGGTGTACTTTAGATCCATCAACAAAAAAATAAACCATATCAAGAAA